CACTTCCCAAGTGTCTAAGACTGTGTGATGTATCAGCAAATAATGTGTGCAGATCCCAGTAAGGTGGCCTTCTGCAGCTGGCAGATGAGAATCTTGTCAGCGCCAATTGTGTTTAAGTGCAGGCCAAGGTCTTTAGGCACTGCACCCAGTGTGTCGATCACCACTGGGACCACTTTTACTGGCTTGTGCCACAGTTTTTGCAGTTTGATCTTTAAGTACTCATATCGTGTCACCTTTTCCAGTTGTTTCTCTTCAATCCTGCTGTCACCTGGGATTGCAACATTGGCAACATTGTTTTTTAACACAATTGTGAGATCAAGAGTATTGTGCTCCAAAAATCTGAACTTGAAAGTCCCAGAGGAGTTTGGCGTGTTCATTTTCTGACATTTTTTCAGGCTTGTGATCCCACCAGTTCTTTGTCGCAGGCAGATGGTATTTGTGGCACAAGATTATTATTATTATTATTATTATTATTATTATTATTATTATTAGCTGTTTAAAAGTCCCTCCCTAAATGACAACCCCCAGATTTCTGCAGGAGCCAGAAACTGGATTTAAAGTGGATCCATGATCTAGTGTAATGAGGTTCTTACTCCATTTTCTGTATTTATTTCCCTGTGTATTACTTTACTTTATTACTTTAGAGATGAAATCAGAGCATATCATAGATTTTGCAGTGGGGGAAAGGCAAAAATTTGGTTTCTCTTTGTCTTCCTTCATCAATACTCTGTATAATCCAGGAGGCTAAGTTTGGTGTGTGCGTCCTCTCCAAATGTTATTACCATCTCCACCTGGATTTTCATTGCCCTGTATCTCAGGGTCAAATCCCAGCTTTGAATTGGATTATATATGTCCACACAACCAGATAATCTGGGATCAGATCCAGGGATATAGGACAGTGTAGACCCAGCCTGGGTTGACATACTATGAAGTTCTCAGGAGGCAAATCACGTGCTCTTCTCATCCAACCATCCATTTATCATTTCAAACTTTAGGCATGGGATGCCAGATTGAGCCCACTTTGCAGCCTCACAGGTACTTCTTGAGCCACCTCAGCAGTGGCAAGAAGTTCCTACTATCCAGCTGCACTGGACATACTGCCTCCTCCTGTGGCATGGCTGGCTACATTCACAACATGGAGACTTCCATAGAAATCCCTCCCCCCTCCCTGCATCCTAGCCTCCCTTGCAAGTAATCACACTCATCAGGAGACTGTTGGACTTTTGAGAATATAGTAAGTGTCTGTGGCTGTAGCTAGCTGTGACATGAGCGGGATGGGGCAGGAAGAGATAGCCATCTGATTGCCTGAGCTCAAGGAGCATGGAATGAATATCGAGATAGCTGCCGCCAGTTCTGCTTAAGTTTTCCTTTGGGGAAATTGAATCAGACCGCATATTGCATTTAGTCTCAGGGCTGATTGGATCAGAAACTGTCCTAAGTAGTCAGTATAGATGTGTCCCTGGACTAGTTTCATCTAGGATGAACTGCATATGAGCTTTAGGAGCTGGGGGTGGTGACGGCCGACAGGGAGCTCTGGCGTGGGCTAGTCCATGAGGTCACGAAGAGTCGGAGACGACTGAATGAATGAACAAAAACAGGGGTCAATATCAATTTTTCTAATAAGTGTTTCCTTGTGATCCAGTTGGAATGTACCTGTTTCCTGCATCTGTATTGTGCAATAAGCAATAATGTTTAGTTTTGCCATTTCAGTAGGTATCAGACTACGTCTTCCTACTACTGTTCCCAGTTTGGAAATACCTGCAAACTTCTACAATCCCCCCCCCCTTTTTTTTTCTTTCTTTTTTTTAGCTATCTAACACTCTTGCTGAAGAGGTTACAGTGCTGTCTTCCTGTGGTTTTGTAATTCCTCACCATTTTTTTCTGCCTTGTACACATTCTTTTCTGCTGTTTGACTTTTTCCCAAGGAAGTCCACTGGCCTATGCCTTTGTGCCCAGGGCCTGTTATCTTTTACTGATTCATGAAAGAGATGTGGAATTTGCAGTCTTAATTTCAAAATTTATCTTATATAGGAGACAGGAAAGTGAATGATTACATGGAATGAGGACTCCAGCTGTGTGGCTCCAGAGAACATGAACCAACTCTGCTTGCAGAAAAACCATCACAATTTAATAGAAATCACAGCTGGAGAGAACTCTTATTCCCAGACAGAATGGGCTTCTTCATAGGTTCCCCTTATTTTTAAAAAAGTTTTATTTTAACTTAACTTTGCTGCTGTAATTAAAGGGCAACGTACGCTAATTCCATTACCAGGAAGATCATTGAACCAGCTAGTGACTCCTTGCTACTCCCACTGGGATAATATTCTTGAACAAAACAATAAATTTGATAAGTTTTAGAGGTTGGGGAGGGAGAAGATACAAAGAGGAAAGCTGCTATTTTCATCCAGTTGTATGGAGATGTAGTGTGAATTATAGAGAAACATTGATCCCTCTGTTCCAGGGATGCTAAGACAGAAATGTAGGGAGGCTATCCTAGATTACATGAATTTGCACTCACCAGGCACGATAGTACTGTCCAAGTTCAACATCATTCTGTGGCCAAAACAGTATCTTCCAGGATCAAAATTGAATGCTTTAGCAAAGAGGGATATCAACTTACTTGAGGAAATGCCAGGATTTATGATACTTTCCCCCAAAGAAAGCTAAGGGAGCTTTTAAAAGACTGGATATTGGGATTTGGAGATGTGGGGGAGTGAAATAGATTTTAATGAAAAATGACCTGGTTTGCTGGTTATCTGGCTGAAATCTTGAACAGAAGTATTCTCTGCTGCATAATTTTTGTGAACTTCATAACTTGCTATTTTGAGTTAATTTAGATTTTGTGTAGCCACTGCAACCATAGACTTGCCTATGCGGTCAGATATCCCAGCATTCAGCACTCAGGAGATTTCATGATTACTTTTGTTTGTCCATAGTGTAGAAACATACACAAGGAGTAAATGGTTCTGCTTTGAGACCTGCCCAAGGTCACATACATGAGCTTTTGCTATTGTATGAAACCAAATAGAGCAGATATACCACTTCATCACACTAGAGATAGGTAATAGATTTTCCCCTGACGTTAAGTCCAGTCGTGTCTTACTCTGGGGGTTGGGGCTCGTCTTCATTTCTAAGCCAAAGAGCCAGCGTTGTCCATAGACACTTCCAAGGTCATGTGGCCGGCATCACTGCATGGAGCATTGTTACCTTCTCCCCAGAGTGGTACCTATTGATCTACGCAAATTTGCATGTTTTCAGACTGCTAGGTTGGCAGAAGCTGGGGCTCACAACGGGAACTCATGCCACTCCCTGGATTCGAACCTGTGACCTTTCGATCAGCAAGTTCAGCATCTCAGTGGTTTAACCCACTGTGCCACCAGGGGCTCCTAGAATTCTGGGGTTTACTGTTTAGTGAGGCTGTTAAAGTCTCCTCCCTAAACTACAAATCCCAGAATTATACAGGAGCCAGATTTTAAGTTGATTTTTTCTCTAGTGTGATGAGGCATATGCCAAATAAAACTTACTGTCCACTTTATATTTTACAACCCTCCTTAATTATGCTAACATGTCAGGGAAAACCTTTAATTAATCAAGGCAGTTTGACAGGTAGTATTTGAGTCTGGGAAAAGTGCCTTTTCATTCCCATACCAAGCACATCTTATTTCCATAAATGAAGCTTGTCAGTTTACCCTTTACTATTGCCTGTGCCGTGTGGACATTTCAACACGTTCACCAGCCTAATAACCTGGTACATCCCAAGCCATGTCTTCCAATAATTTTTAAGACACGTACATATATACAATCTTTGGGGGGAAAGCATTGAGAAGCAGCCAGATGGCCCACCTACTAACAAACTCAGCTTAGGAAAAGGGCATAGGGAATTTAATGAACACTGTGTACATTGGTAATGGCTTAGAAAAGAAAACTGTATGTTGAAATCTTGGAGTTAATTGCTGAGATGGGGCACTGCAAGCCATGCAGTTTACTCAGACTAACAATTCATGAGAGAAGATAGTATTAATGCTTTTTGAATAGATGCTTTCTGAAGGATATCTAAAGTGCCTCTAGAGCTGTTGCTACTATTGATTGTACTGCTCAAGAAAGTGAGTTTGTTTGCAAGCATGCTCAGCTGAGATTGTTACTGGTGGCAACATCTGCTCTTTGTTTTCCTAAATTGCACGAAAACTTGTTATAAAAAGTAAGAAGTACACCATATTTTCTCTTGTCTGGGTCCTTTGATTGATTGTCCCCTTTGATTGATTGTTGGGTCCTTTGATTTATTGTTGGGTCCTTTGATTGATTGTCCCATTTGATTGATTGTTTCCATGGTAGCCCACCCAGTAACCCCAACAATTACAATCTTAGTACTGTTGGTTAATAGCAATTCCATAATTAGTTTTTCCTAAGACATTTTAAATTGCTCTTCTAAATTTTATCTCAGCTGTACAGTCATGGTTCTCCTTGTGTAGCAGTAAAATCCAAACTGCAGTTGAATGCATGGATCAAACCTAGAATGCGACACTGAAACACATTTGCAAAATAATTTTGGCTTTGTATCAATAATGTGTCATTTATGAAGTGGCTCCTGTGTTTGTCATAATTATTTTCCCCAACTGGTTTGTTAAAGTTGCATGGCATACAATCTTGCGCTGTGGAAATTAAACCGATGTATGTGCCGGTTAGGAAGCTATTAATCTGTAATTGCAGGTTGTCTTGTTAGGAAGGGGAATGGCATGATTAAAAGCAGTTTAGGGGACAAGAAAGCGAAGAGGCTAATGGTTTCACACAGTTTTGTTGTGGCAACGACATGGCATCACTGCTTCAAAGGTGTCTGTATTAATGAATTAAACCATTTGATAAAACAAAAAAAGTATACATGCTGGGCTGAAAATAATATTCAAAGAAATTGTGCAGAAACAGCCTTGAATGCAAAGCGATACTTTAAGCCTTTGCTGCTCTTATTTCTCTGCTTTGATTTCTCTCCTCTTCGTTTTTAATAGGCGAACAACCATTCTCAGGAAGTAACAGAAAACAGTGCACAAGAGACACATACCGTAAGGCCACATCTGCCTCTTTTCTGGAGCAATCATCCAAGAAAGAATGCATTCTGGAAGGTAGGATTTCTTCAAAAGACAAACGTCTACCCAAAGGCACGTCAGAGTTCAAAGAGAGTCAGGCCCAAAGTTTTCCAAGACCCAAAAAATCTATTTCTGATTGTGGGTGTCATATCAAGGCTTCATCAGATACAACACTGAATGAAAATGCTAAGCTCAGGACAGATCCATTCCCCAAAGGTAAGTCATTTCTTTGATTACTAGCTGTAGCCAATCTTCCTTCCCACTTTCTTTCTCTCCTTCCTTCCTTCCCTTGTTTCTTTCATTCTCTCCCTTCCTTCCTTCCTTCTTCCTCTTCCTTCCCTTCCCCTTTTCTTTCCCTTCCTCTTTTCTCCCCTTTCTTCCTTCTCTACGTATTCTTGGACTGCAACTCCCAGCAGTCCTCCTGATCAATCTGTCTACCTACCTATCTCTATCTAATCTATCTATCTGGAGGATTGCTGGGAGTTGCAGTCCAGGAATAGGAAATTGGAAATATGCAGGGATTGGGATGCTCTCAAAGAAATCCAAGGAGAAGAAAGCTTGCATCTTGGAAGCAGTGCATTTGGATCATCCTCCTCTCCTAAAGGGCCTGGTCTAGGGGATGCTGGGAGCTGTAGTCCAAAAGAGAGTGTGGATATGCTACTGAGTGTTTTGTTTTCTGGGGAATCGTTTTGTGCATGCGCTGTAGCGTCTTTTTGCATTTTTAGCTCTTTAAGTCTCTTCCGTTGTGTTTTTCAGTGTTTTTATGAGTGATGGTCACTCGTTGGCCTGATAGGGTTATTGTGTCCAAATTTGGTGTCAGTTCGTCCAGTGTGGGATTTTATTCAGCTGTGTGGAAGGGTCCTTGGCTTTTAGGCCTGTTCCTGGGGTTATTTGGGATACTCATTCAGAAAATTTTATTGAAAAGGCTGCATCAACTCTAGTTTCTTATATATGGTTAACATGATTTTCTATGAACGAGCAAATGAAGACTGGTATATGGTATATGTTCTGTATCTCAAAAACTAGAGATCATAGAGGGAAACTGGTGACATTTTTGGAATGTGAAGGTCAAATATACCCACGAACATATCTAACATTTGAAACACCAAAATGTATGTTGGCTAGTGTTAATGGGAAACATGTCTGCATTTGTATATTTTAAAAGGTTTTAGAAAGATCGTTAAGAGAGCAACGGCCTAACCTAATCCATTTGTAAAGCTCTTAACATCACTTTTGCAATAGGTCATGCTAGTTAGAAATCCTTAATTCTTTTTTAAAAAAATGTTTTAATACTTACACATCAATTTAATTCCAAAAAATACATGCTTCAGCACATTTTGTACACTTTCTTGGAATACTATCCAACATAAACTTTGATTCTTTCAGGCCATATTTAATTCTTTTAAAATATGGACTGAACCTATTCCCTATGGTCATATTTTATTTTAGACAATTGAGCAAGATGTACCAGAGGCTAATCACCATCTAGTAACTTAAAACTAAAGATGCTGTCTCACATGAAAGAATGAAAAATTTCACGTTTCTTCATCCTGGGCAAGAATAGAGAAGTTCATGCAAATTCTTCATGGTGGATTTCAGAAAGTCTTCAGAAAGTCTTATGTAGCTGATAGAATGTCCTTCTCAGATGTGTCCTTTACACTTCTCCTGTTGAAAACGATGGCCTCGCTATCTATTCTCTGTAACATATTAATTCTATAGTACTGTGTTCTTTGCCAAATTTAACATATTTTGCTTTCCATGTTCATATATTAGAATTCATAATTTATTCCAAGGACTACATGCTTTCCACACTTGCTTTATCCTTTCTTCCACAACTTTTCAGTGATTCCTGGCCACTGAACACATTACAATGCAGCTCATTTTCCCTCTTAAGGAGCTCCCAGTGGCACAATGGGTTAAATCCTTGTGCCAGCAGGCTTGAAGACCGACAGGTTGCAGGTTCGAATCTGAGGAGAGTACGGATGAGCTCCCTCTGTTAGCTTCAGCTCCGATGCAGGAACATAAGAGAAGTCTCCCACAAGGATGATAAAACATCAAAACATCTGGGCATCCCCTGGGCAACGTCCTTGCAGACGGCCAATTCTCTCACACCAGAAGCGACTTACAGTTTTTCAAGTTGCTCCTGACATAAAAAAAAAAATCCCTCTAGTGCCAACTCATATTGATACTTCAGAGTTGCTCATTAGGAGATTTCCCTTGGTCTTCTTGTAAAAGAGGTGTCACCTGAAACTCAGTTTATATTATTGAATTATCAAGGGGAAAATCTACACTGTAGCATATGTGGCATATGCTTAATTGGCCCCAGCATGGTTTACACAGCCATCCACTTCCCAGCAACTGCAGAAGTGGGACCCGGTGGTATTGGACCTTATTAGGTGCTGCTGGATGGCCACCCTCACCAGTCCTTCCCATTCTACATGTTGTAGAGGTCTCCAGGCACAATATGGGTTTTGCTAATCAGTTGTTGCCTGAAATGACATTGGCCAGGGCAATGCGGTGATGAGGAAGGATAAAGGTCGGAATGGTTCCCTCCTCTTCCCCCCGTTCCCAAATCACCCTCGCACCCCAGCCAGCATCACTCCAGTGAAGACCAAGTGGCAGTAACATGCTGTGTCCAGAGGCTGCACAGGCAACACAGAGAATGGGAGAGGATGTTAAGTGCCATCCCATATCCTCAGGCCACCCGAACCCAGGAAACACAAAATGGCAGTGTAAACAGTTGTGGCTGGTTCCATATTAGGAACAGCTCAATTGTTTACACTGGCTCAAAGTCATAGGTTGCTTCAAAATCTGGACCTGAACTTGGAGTACCCTGTTATGTTAGTTAATGCTGGTCAAGGCCGTGTTAAGGCAACCTTACCCCACATTACCCCTGGTCAGTTCTGTGCATACATTGGCTGCCACAGAGCTGATTCAGGAGTCCTTTGCATTAAATTATCAGTGTAGATGTGCCCATAATCATGTACAGCAATTTTTCAGTTGTAGTTCTCTTTATACTGGAAACAATTTATTGGCAGCAGTAAGTTACATTCTCTTTTTAAAGACTACTATGAGGAATAAAGTAACTTGCGAGTGCTCTCAATGCCTTTCCAGGAATATAGGACAGTTGTCTTCTATGTATGGCTAAAATGTTCTTCCAGATATTCTACAGTAAAAATAACAAGTCTTCAGAAAGGATTTCTGTGTACTACGCACATTGGCCTGCTTCAGATTGAGATATATTATATACCAGCTTGGGTTTTGTGTGTGTGGGTGGGTGACCAGGGTGTGTCTCTGGTGGCAGAGCTAGCCATCATGTTATAGGACCTCATCATATGCACGTTGAGAAATGTGGGAGGTCAATATGTCTAGCGAAAGCAGTCATCTCTTTTGATCGCCAGTCATCCCTTTTCAAATTCTGTCTTCCCATCACACTTGCTTACCTCTTCAGTTCCCCCCCCCCCCTTTGCTGCCTGGGTTCTGAACCATCTTACTTTTACAAAAGAAAAATCTTCTCTTTAAAGAAGATGAAGAATTTACTTACCCTCATCACACAAGATCCCACCTCTAGCTCAACCATCTGCTTAGAAGAGACACAAGGCATCGTTCTTAAGATAGCACTTCTATGGACTGTTTTCCTTCCCAAGTCCATTTCTTAAGACACTTCTATGGACTGCTTTCCTTCCCAAGCCCCATTCTTAGGAGACCCTCAAAAGACTTCCCATCAGAATGCCTCTCTAAACACCACTGCATGACAATGAAATGGGATGAGTAAGTTAGACAATTCCCATCCCACATGTTTTCTGGCTGGAACTACGGGTCTGATGCATGTTAGGAGCTCAAAACACAATTGTTCACCTGTGTTCAGAGCTCTCTCCTTGTAGGACACTTCAGCTGCAGTTCAAGCTCGGTAACTATGCATGGTGGCCAGAAGTGCTTGGGCTCCGTACCTCTCCATCATGTGATGGGCTCCGTACGTCTCCATGCTTGAAAAGAGGCTGAGGTATCCTACAGCAGGACAATTTCTCCATGTTATGAGGTCCTTAGAAACTGCTTAATGCATTTAGAATGATTGATCAATCCCTGATTGATATTTACTCCAGTTCAAAAACAGACAGCAATATCAGGGCTTACAGAGGCATCTTCCTTCACTGTAGTTATGGAAACAGACCTGTCTGAACAATGAAAAAATATACTTGAAGCAACTTCTCTACTTCAGTCAGTTTTCACTTAACAGGTTGAGATCTTCGGTATGCTAATGAAGCTTTTTGTCTGGAGAAATATCTTTCACAAGTGCTCAGTTTTTAATTTGCTGGGCAAAGCTTTGTTTGAATGGGATAAATATCAGAATCTTGGCTCAGCAAAAAAATAATCCCAAGTAAGAGAAATGATGAACGAGAGAGTGAATGTGCAACTTTGGTTGAATGAGGGAGAAAGGAGGTTAGTAGATTTCTCTGCTTGTTTCCTTTGAAAAGAATGACATTGAAGCTTCTAGAATGTCACAATGGAAAGGGTATTTTCTCTCTACTGCAACTGATAGTTCGAAACCATCTGAAATAGGCTTTCTTCCCAGATATTTAATACCCCAAATCATGCTCCTTGGCAAGAAGCACAGGCTTATTGTCACTCTTGTAATAGTGTTGCTTCTTAGTGTTCAGAACTTCATTTGCTATTCTAAACTAATCCTGTATTTTCAGCAAGAAGCCTGCATTTTTGGAGACAAATTCCTTTTTGGAGCCATAAATTATGCAAGAAACATTGATCATGAAATTGCAATCAAGCACAATTATAGATAAAGAAATTAGATTGCAAAAAACTTGCTGGATGAATCAGATTTATAATGAGTCGAAGTCATATCTGAGGATGTTTTAAAAGTTTCTCATCTAATAATAATAGTGATAAATACACAGATCAATATTGTAAGAATTTTAAAAGGAAGAACTCCATAATGGAAGGAGGGAATGTCAGTTTACTTGAGAAATAATGTGATGTGTAATCACATCATCAGTGCAATGGATCTAAACTGGATCAGAGCATATGGGCTATTGAAAAGTAGTTTAGTATAGAGCTGCCTTTCTCAATCTTTTATCCTGGAGGAATACTTGAAATAATTTTTCTGGTCTCAAGGAATTGCTGTGTAAAAATTATTATATCTAGAGCTCAAGAAAGGTTTTTTTTCTCCTCCAATCAAAGTCTCTCATGGAACTTTTGCAGACCCGTGAGGTTCCAGAGAACTGTGATTGAGAAAACTTGTTTTGAAACCAAAAATGTAAAACATTTCAATTTTTTTATTTTAATCTCCCACTCTTTTTAAGACCTACATTTCATGTTAGTCTTATCTAAAGTAGACTATGTGTTTAGACAATGGGTTCAGCACATTTTTTCTAGTTAGGACAGACCAGCAAGACTCAGACCAATGTGTTCTTAGCAAGCCATTATTCTTTAGTTATCTCTTCTTTCCCTCCTTGCCCCACAACTTCAATATGAAAATATTTATAATATTGTTAGGATAATACAGTAGTTTACGATATGTTCTGTTCCATTGTGTTCTGACATAAAATACATGGTGGAAATGAAAAGCAATGTAGGATGAGGGAGGCAGGAGAAAAAAAGCAAAGTCTAGCACTAGATTTAATTTCGGTATCTAGTACAGATTAGAAGAGGCCAGTTAAAACAATGGAAATGTATAAATCAGTGTTTCTCAACCTTCCCCTTAATACAGTTCCTTGCGTTGTGGTGAGCACCAAACATAACATTATTTTCATTGTTACTTCATAACTGTAATTTTGCTACAGTTATGGCTCGTAATGTAAATATCTGATATGCAAGATGTATTTTTATTCACGGGATTGGGAAGGATTGATTTTGTCATTTGGAAGTTGCAGTTGCTGGGATTTATAGTTAATCTACAATCAAAGAGCATTCTGAAGTCCACCAATAATGAAAATTGAATTGAACCAAAGTTGGAACACAGAACTCCCATGACCAATATTGGCAGGGTCTGCTGGGCATTGACCTTGAGTTTTGGAGTTGTAGTTTGCCTAAACCAGAGAGCACTGTGGGCTCAAACAATGATGGATCTGGACCAAACTTGGCACAAATACTCAGTATGCCCAAATGTGAACACTGGTGGAGTTTGGGAGAAATACACTTGACATTTGGGAGTTGTAGTTGTTGGGATTTATAGTTCACCTACAATCAAAGAGCATTCTGAACCCCACCAACCATAGAATTAGGCCAAACTTCCCACACAGAACTCCCATGACCAACAGAAAACACTGTGTTTTCTGATGATCTTTGGCAACCCCTCTGATACCCCCTTGCGACCCCCACAGGAGTCCTGACCCCCAGGTTGAGAAACACTGGTATAAATCATCACCCGTATCAATTCAGCTGATACAATGCATCTACTCAACTCAAGATTATAAATTGGATTTAGGCCACAGTTTATATAATGACTAATGGAAATAATTTAGGAGACTTGACTGGATAGCTAGGTGATAGACTATTTCTGCTTCTGTTCTCTCCCTCTGCTGAGGCCAGAGAGAAAATATCCCATCCACTACCTGATACATGTGACTCTTCTCAAGATTGCATACGCTTGTTTTCCTGCATATGTATACCTTGCTTTGGTTTTCATCCCACAGGTCTCTGGCTGTGGTGGAAGGATCACATTAATCATGTCAACTCATTAGATATTTGAAATGAGAAACTTCCTGCATCATACATGCACAAAGCAATACCTCCTTAGCTTAATGAATTCTCCATATATACCTTGATCTTTTTCTCTATAGTCATAGCTGTCAAGAGGAACCCAGATACAAATTATCTTTATTCCCTTAGTAAACATTAATCTCTTTCTAAGGTGATTACCAATTCTATGGCACAGCTATCAAGTTGAAAGAGCACAAGGAAAATGAGAAGAACGAGATGGTTGGAAGGGTAACAACCTCCACGGCTCACAAACCAGATGTTCCTTGTGAGAAACATGAAGCCTTCCAGCAGCCAAAGGTCTGCTCTGAGCCTGAGAAAATTCCTGCAAACCCACTGACTCTTAGGGTAAAATATCAAAATGTTTTCTCTGCTAACTTTCAGTTCTGTGATGGTTATTTTCCTGGAAATCCAGTGGGGTAGAGAGTCATTTTTTGAAATTTATTACCTCCCCTCTTGTTTTTTTTTTATCAGCAAAGCAGAGATTTTACTTAATTTTTTTCAAACCAATTTGTCTGAATGATATACAGAGAATTGGACTTGGGAACCAGTTGCAACTTCAGCATTTTCCAGTTTTCTGAATATACGAGGGTTGAATGAAAAGTAATGCCTCCACCTTCATTACTTGGGTTTGGATGGGAATATTTTAATAAATCAAACACAGAAATAGTCCTTAGAATGTGCTCTTTAACTACCACTATTCACTTTTCCACATAATCACCAGACAATTGGATACATTTCTGCCAATGATGAACAAGTTTTCTGAAGCCGTCATGGAAGAAGTCGACACTCTATTTCCGCAACCATCGTCTCACAGTTCTCTCAGCGTCTTCATCAGAAGCATAGTGATGTCCCCGCAGATCTTCTTTCATTATTGGGAACAGATGGAAGTCAGATGGTGCTAAATCTGGACTGTATGGAGGATGTCATACGGTGGTGAGATCCAGTCTCTGAAGTTTCAAGTCTGTGTGCTTTCATTTCAGGCATCAGCATTGTGGGTACCCATCGTGCACAGATCTTCTGATAGCAAAGCAAAGCAATAATATGACCCACACATTCTTGTGAAATGCCGATTATGCTTGAAATTTCTCTCTGAGTGATATGACAATCATCCTGAATCAATCTGTCAACCTTTTGCTTGTGAAACTTGGTGGTTGCTGTCACAGGATGTCCAACTCTTTGTTTGTCACGCAAGTCAGGTGTTCCCACCTCAACATCTTTAAACTTACTTGCCCAACGACTCACAGTACTCACATCAACACAATCACCATAAACAGCTTGCACTTTCTGATGAATCTCCTTTGGGGTGACACCTTCTGCTGTCAAGAATTCAACATCACATTGACCGACTGTCTGCGCAGGGTTCCATACTTCGCACTTTAACAACACAACCGTTCAATTCTAAGGCTTCCCACCAAAATGGAACTGTAGAGGAGAGTCTACTGAAAAAGCCAGTACCTGCCGCATACCAGTACTGTCATCTGTTGAGTTATGAAGGTGGAGGCATTACTTTTCATTCAACCCTCGTATATATCGACTGTCTCCATGTAAGCAGCCCCAACTCCCTTCAGGGAGATGGTGGTGCGGTAATAAAAATAAAGTTATTGTTGTTGTTGTTGTTGTTGTTGTTGTTATTTCACCCAAAGAATAACTACGTAAACCAAAATGGGAATGTAGACTTAAAGAAAACAGTGCCTTGAGCACATTCTCAGGATGAAAAAATGTGTGAATATTCTTTGCATCCCTTTGAGGAAACTTGTTCTGATTGCTAGACTTTAAGATTAGCTATGTGAGCAAGTGCTGTGTGTAGCCTACCATTAAGTGGAAGTATTGTATCTGATAATGTTTTCCTCACAATGTTTCCATTTGGTGGCAAAAAAGTTGTAAATAGCAACTACATTGACGTGGATTCCCAAACTTGTGGTGGATATTACATGTTACTGTTTAAACTTTTGACAAGTAGAATCACCCGTGGATCGATCCAGAAAAATGATTTCATGACATCCTCTGTGTCACTCACCCTAAATCAATACTATTTCTCTTTCCTTTAGGAGGCTCTGGAAATTCACAAGCCTCACTTTATTTCCCGCTCACAAGAACGGCTGAAGAAACTCCAAAACATGGTACAACAGAGGAAATCCCAACAGGGTGATGGCTCAGGAAAGAAACAAGGAGCTATTCTTTCTCACAAACTTTCCTCCTCTTCCATTACAAATAAGAAGAAACAATATACAGTTCCTCATCCTCTCAGTGGTAAGTTGACTAATGGAACTTCCACCAAATCTATCAAAGCATTTGATGGCATACACACTATTCCTTTGTCAATGTTCAGAGGAAATGGTCCAGTTTTCGACATGGTGTTCCATCATTGCCATTTCTTTTGCTGATGTAAGCAGTGGTCTGGCTACATGCCATGTTCATCTATCAGTCTATAATTCATTCGAAGGGTTTTCCAATACGTCACTTCAGCCTCCTTTTCCCTGAGTTAATTTTTATAGTCTGTTGCTGCAAAACTAATAAAGGATTCCGTGACATTGTAAACATCACAATAGCTATGTAAATAGATTATTGTCCACCACTATGATCCAGAATTTCAGGAAATATATAGTATCTGGAGCCCCTCTGGTGGTGCAGTGGGTTAAACCACTGAACTGCTGAACTTGTTGACTGAAAGGTTGCAGGTTCAAATCCAGGGAGCAGGGTGAGCTCCTGCTGTTAGCCCCAGCTTCTGCCAACCTAGCATGCAAATGTGAGTAGATCAATAGGTACCGCTCTGGCGGGAAGGTAATGGTGCTCCATGCAGTCATACTGCCCACATGACCTTGGAGGTTTCTACGAACAATTCCGGCTCTTCAGCTTAAAAATGGAGATAAGCACCAACCTCCAGAGTCAGACATGACTGGACTTAATGCCAGGGGAAACATTTACCATTACCTATATGGTATCTGTGATAGAGTAGGATTGCAGAAGTATTTTTAGAATAAAATTCTATGCAGAAAATACTAACAGTACTTTTCTTAACCATGAAGCAGTAGGGATTGATAGGGATCAATTCCTAAAAGGTTTTCTGATCATACAATTTAAGATGACTCCTTTGTTTTACTACAGGAAACAGGGCATGCAGTGGTACATGCAACTGTAATCTTCCCAAATCCTTTTACTTCTGGGAAAGATATGAGCTGCCTGTTCTCTTTCAAGTAAAAGTAAAAGACAAAAAAACATGCAAAGTGATAAGGATTATGGTGCAAATGCTTCTCTGCCAAACTATTTTCTTAAACCCAAAAGTTTGTGTTTTGTCAATTAAATATATATTTAAAAGCTTAATCTTTAAGGATGGCTATGGTCATTCTTGAGCAATTGCAGATTAATTCAGATCATTCTTTAACATAAATCTTTAGCTTGAAAATATCCACCCACTCCTTTTTTTACTCTATACATTATAATTATCTGTACTGCTTGGGCTTTCAATTTCTAATATAAATCTTTTTGCTATATTGCATTCATCATCTCTACATCTACATATCCTCGAGAGGCTGTTTCTGTTTTGCGTAATTTTTTCCCCATTTGTCTATAAAGACAGTCTAGGTTCTGTCGTAGCCAGTTGAGCCATAACAATAGACTTTAATTTAACTATTATTTATCCTCTATAACAAGTGATTCTAACTCAGGTTCAGAAGGGCATCCTGGCACAACTGAAATTTATTTTCTTGAGACAGAAAACAGGAATGGAACAAAATGGGATGGGAGAGATCGATTTTCCTCCTCTAACCTTTTCTGTTTCCTGTTTCTGCAGTTTACAAGAAAACCTGGTTCATATTTTCTAGTCAATGGTACAGCAAAGTGAGGTGGCAATGTGGGGTTTTCATGTTAGACCAGTTTGTAGTCCTTATTGTCAGTTTTGCCCCCATAGATATTGGGTCCACAAATGCACCATGGTACATCTCTCCCACACTTAATTCAGAGAGCAGAGGAGCACTGGAAAACTTGTCACTCTCCAGAAATTGTTGGGTTGCATCTGCTATTCAGCTCTAGCCAGCAGTATTAATAGCGATGGATGATAGCAATTGTAGCCCAACAACATCTGAAGGGCATAATTAGATCTTACGTATTACCACTCTTCCCTTTTAGAGACATAATTCTCCCCTTACACTATCCCCCAGGTCCTATTTTCGTCATTTCCCTTAGCACTTTATCCATCAACCCTATCCTTTGGCAAGTGACTTGCACCAGCCGCCCTCCTGAACTCAGAACTGTGCACTACTCAGACCATTGAAGGTTGTCAGATGTTCACTCTGTATTGTATTCTGTGGTTGTTTTATATTGTTGAATTGTTTTTATGAATTTTGTTGCTATATTTTAACTATGTTAAACCTCAGGCTTGTCCCCATGTGAGCCTCCCCAAGTCCCTTTGGGGAGATGGAGGCGGGGTACAAAAATGAAGTTGTTGTTGTTGTTGTTGTTGTTGTTGTTGTTGTTATTATTATTAGCCATCCTCTGCCACGCTTTGCCGTGGCCCAGTCTGTGTATATGTGTTTTGTATGTGTATGTGTATATATGTGTATATGTGTGTGTATATTTGTGTATACATGTGGTTTTGTGCATGCGTTGTAATGTAATTTTTTAATATTTTGGTTTTTAAAGTCTCTTCTGCTGTGTTTTTCAGTGTTTTTATGAGTGATGGTCACTCGTTGGCCTGATAGATGTATTGTGTCCAAATTCAGTGTCAATTCGCCCAGTGGTTTTTGAGTTATGTTAATCCCACAAACAAACATTACATTTTTATTTATATAAATTACATACAATTGTGATAGCCAATGTTCTGTTTCTAGGGCCCTCAGAGGCTGCATAGGCCGCCACAAGTGCAACAAAAAACTCCCCAAATAAAACCAGAAAGAGATGAAAGGTCGCTTCTGGTTTCTTATGGGTATTTTTATGTTAAAGTGAACAGAGGGGCACACCATTCCAAAATAGAAGGGCTTCAGCTGTGCCCCTCTGACACTGCTCAATTATAGATGTATTATTCCACCTTAATTGCCCTGGCTCCATTCTATAAACTCTTGGGATTTGTAATTTACGAGGAAAAAATTAGCATTATCAGCCAAAGAGCTGTATTGCCAAACTACAAACTCCAGGATTCCATATGAAGATTATAGTGATGATGGTAATGCTTGTTTTTGTTGTCCTTCAAAGCATTTCCTTGGGTCTTTTACTGGGAGAAAGTCAGGTATAAATTAAACATACAAATTTTCTTACTTATGTAAATTGTTGAAAGTGGGTTTGCTTTTGTCTCCTCCTAAGTCAGAGAGAATGTGACTTGCCCCTGAGGGTTTCCATTCAAACCCTGGCCTCCAGAGCCATAGGGATCATAATGCTATAATAATATAGTGTGAGAGGGCCTGGACACTTTGAGGAGAGCATTTTTTTTCGGTCAGAAAAAAGATCAGCATTTTTTTTTCAGTCAGAAAAACCCTGCTTTGTCCCAGGTCTTTCCAGCTGTGGGTGCTTCCAGTCCCAATCCACACTTCTTGTCTCAGAATTTTTGAGCTCCTGGGAGTTTGATATAGTTGCGGGCACTCTTGTCCATCCCTGTCTTGGGACAAGTGACTAGTTGCTCTTTAGGAAGCCGAAATATTACTGTCCAGGGAGGAATTGGTTGCTGTATTCACTGAAGCATGACATACAGATATTGTTATCTAACAGGTATATTGGGTTGCAAAACTCTCCCCGGTGTTCTTCACTATGAAAATAACCCTTGGTTTGATAGTGAACAATATGTTGAATATTGTCCATAAAGGCTACTGTAATATTTTAGTTTTAGATTTGCTCCTGGTGGATTTGTCATCCTTTTCCACTATGTCCTTTATCCAGAAGTCCTCAAACTGAGTAGATGATTGTTCCAGCATTCTGTTCTGTAAATCTGTATGTGTATGTGGTTTGCCTGAAGGCACCTATCTGCGTTACCGGTAGTTTATTTAAAATTCTGTTGCAAAAAATAAAATCTATGAGTTAATTGCTCCTGAAACTGTTCAGAAAATTTAATCCTACTGGATTTATCACATTTTAACTTTTTAATCACCATACTAACCTTTTTAGCAGCTTGAAATTTACATGTTTACCGTTGAATAATCCATATAAATAGATTATTCCACAAAGAAAGTGTGATTGCAATTTATGCGGTCACATTTTTATCGGATGGGATGTTTTCTGCCTAAAATAATGGAAAGCTTCCTTGACAAATCAGACAGCTATTAAAATGCAAGTTTTCCTGTGAGCATATACTGACTCAAACCACTAGTCTAGTTCCCTCAGTACTGTTTATATTTATAGACAGCAGCAAAGTTTTCAAAAGGAGTCTTTCATGGCTTCTTCTGCATACATATCAATTTTACTAACTCTGCAATTCCAATCCTTACAATAGACTCTAAAAACTTTCAGAGTATTTTGTAGGGATTTTAATCATTTTCACCATTTCTAAACATACAAGTCCACACTTCTAATTTGTTAAATGTATGGGGCTGGTATCCAAAAACACAGTAAATTCACAGTATCTTGGGTAGGTTGACAAAATCTCACCTTCAAAACAGCTTTGCCAACAGTGATATTTTTCTCATAGGGCGCATCCACACTGCACCGAAAAAGTGTGAGTGTCTGCACTTTTAGCTGAAGTGTCCAAATGATGCCTCAGGTAAAAGTGAATTAATTCAGGACTAAGCAGGAAAACCCTGCTTTGTCCCGGGTCTTTCCAGCTGTGGGTGCTGTGTGGATTGGGCCCGGGATCGCATCTTGCAACTTCCAGTCCCAATCCATACTTCTTGTCTCAGAATTTTTGAGCTCCTGGGACTTGAAAAATCCAAGCCCCCAGCCCTTCTCAAAACCCCTTTTAAAAGCATGGATGGCATTTCTCTGCTGCTGGCCCTCTCCTGGTGGATAGAAATTAAGTATAGGAGGGGAGAGGAAGAAAATCACTCCTGCTTCCATTCTCCCGGCGTGTCATTTCTACACACCAAGGGAGGGCCGGCAGCAGGGAAATGCCGTCCAGGTAAATTATTTTCTCTTTTTAAGGCTTTTGAGGGAGGATTCTTTTGTGTCTGGGGTTGTTCTTTTGTGTCTGGACACCCCCCCCCCCAAGAAAGCACGGATGTTGGACCAACGTGTGGACTGTAATGAGGGCCCAATAGGGTGTTTTTAACATGATTGGGTGTGCACTAATGTTCTGTCTGGAACTGCCCTTAGAATGTGTGTTGTCTGGCTCT